TTAGGCAACAATCAGGCCAGCAAGGGAGCAGTTAAGGGGCGATCAGGCTGGCAGGCAGAAGTGGTTAGGGGCAGTCAGGCAGGCAGGCAGGGGAGTGGTTAGGAGCCAGCGGTCCCAGATTGTGAGAGGGATGACATCCCCCAAGGGGTCCCAGATTGGAGAGGGTACAGGCCAGGCTGAGAGACACCCCAACCCCACCCCCCACCCCTGTGGACAAATTTCGTGCGCCGGGCCTCTAGTTAAACATAAAATCTTAAGAAAAATCTTATTGAACATTAAGAAATCTTGTATTAATGTTAAAAAAAGAGAGAGATCCAAAGTGAATAAATGGGTTATGTAAATCTGTCAGTATTCAGGGTGCTGCAAAAATAGGTTTACAGTTGTGAGTGCGAAAACCAGATGTTATTATTGTATTATATTAATTGTATTATTTTCCAAGTGAACAGCTGGAAGTCTACTTTTGCCCCACCTTGTATGTTAATGTGTTTAATTGGGAAAGTATTTCTCCAACTTCTGTTGTCTACAAATTCTCCTCTGATAATAATTTTTTTTTTTTTAAGGAAAATTGTGGCTGAATATGAAAAGACCATTGCCCAAATGATTGGTAAGGACATTTTTTTCCTAGGGTATGAGCCATAGGATCCATAGATGAATTTCAAATCAGGATACAAACTTCACTTTGTCCATCACTTAGATACAATTGATTCTCATTCGCATTAGTTATGTTTTATGAAGTTGCCACCAACACCGAGTTAGCAAACACTGAACTGTTGTTTCCAGGGAAGTGCAGGGTTAGGTTCCTGCTAGCTCTGGTCCAGTGATGGCGAACCTTTTGAGCTCGGCGTGTCAGCATTTTGAAAAACCCTAACTTAACTCTGGTGCCGTGTCACATATAGAAATTTTTTGATATTTGCAACCATAGTAAAACAGATTTATATTTTTGGTATTTATTTTATATATTTAAATGCCATTTAACAAAGAAAAATCAACCAAAAAAATGAGTTCATGTGTCACCTCTGACACGTGTGTCATAGGTTCGCCATCACTGCTCTGGTCACACTGTTTTGAAATTACATAATCTTGTCTTATGTGTGCTTCTGTTTAAAGACATCTTATTTTATATATACTGGTAGTGTTGATTCATTAATATTGACCTCGAGGCCAACAGTGCTATATAGCCCATGTGTGAACAAAACTTACTGAGCATGTATTTTCCCCAGAAGGCACATCACAGCCTTCCTGCACTTAGGAACTCTAGACAGCTCTGTAGCACTACACTTGGGAGCTTTTTTTAAATACAAAATCACCAACAGAAAGCGCGTGCGCTCACACACGCGCGCGCACAGACACACACAAGCACTAAATAGACTGTGGAAAGGACACTTGTTTACAGTATAAAGCGAGAAGGCATCACCTTTCTCAACCTCAGCTGTTCTGCACATGTCTGTGAATGATCGGGAATGCACCAGAAGTGCTGATTTGGGGGTTACAAGTAAATTTCAGTAAGTAGGCAGATTCACAGGTGTGGAATCTGTGAGTGACGGGGATCAGCTGTAGTTGGGGTCATTTTAGAGGATGGCAAACACTGGGATTCTGTGAAAAGCCCTCCCCCAGTACCCAGAGAACTGGCAGCCTAGGCACATCGTTCGTACCCCCAGGTGGTGCAGTGTCCTCACTCTACTGCTAGTGTACCTTCTGGTATCAGACCCATGGTGCCATTCCAAAACATCAGTGGTTGATCTTCCTGCACTGGATTTAGAACTTCCTGGCCAATGTTGTAAGGACTAACTCCTGAAACCGGTCAGGTCTGTCTATATACTTAAGCATTGAAGTGGTATTTTCTACTGTCCTCGTCACCTAATACCTTCCCAGCATGTGGCCTTTGCCACAGTTGTTCCCCTCATCTGCTTGGAATCTGTTCAGATCTCTCCTGAGTGAGTCCACGCTCTATAAAAAGGGACCCCCCCTCCTGCCCTGCCTTGTTCCCCCCATCACTTGTCACCACATCTCTCTCCCATAGAAGGTAAGTCCTTGAGAGTGGGGACTTTGTAATGTCCACTCTGGGTCCCACCAGCGAGAACACTAGCTCAGGAGGGCAGCTGCTAACTGTTTGTTGATTGAATATGCCTTTGCTTTTGATTGTAATTCACAGAAGATGAACAAAGGACAAGTATGACCTCTCAGAAAAGCCTCCAGCAACTGACCATGGAGAAGGAGCAGGCCCTGGCTGACCTTAACTCTGTGGAAAGGTCCCTTTCCGATCTCTTCAGGAGATATGAGAACCTGAAAGGAGTTCTGGAAGGGTTCAAGAAGGTAGCATGTCCTTTCTTCTGGAATCTCTGCTGTGGTGGTAGATCTTCAGATGTGTATGGCAGAGGAGTATGGGTAGCCTTTTAAATTGGGTTTGGGGGCCCCTGTTGGCCTGTATCTTCCGTTCTAGGGAAGCTGGAGGATCCCCTCCCCCCTTTTCTGTGTGGGTGGTGTGTCTTGGTCATTCCTCTCCTGGGTCAGGCCAGTAAACCCCAGACACAACCAGAGTGTGGCATGGAGTATAAGAGCTGTGGAACCCTCGGACTTTAGGAGAATTCTAGAAATGTTCATTTTGATAATTCACCAATTTAATATTAGTAAAAGTAAAAGGGATTCTAGACATAGCCCTGGAAAGTTCAGGCTGCATATTCTAGAGAAAAGTAATGTTTCAAATTTAGGTGTATTGATTTAATTTACCCTCAATGAGATAACATTTATAGCAGTGAACATTCTTTTTGTCCATATTAAAATAAAAATGAGACTGGCTAGTTAATCTGTGGGAATCAGATTGCCAGAGTTGAATAACTGCCTTCCTAAAGCAGGTGTACTAGTGTAACTGAACCTTGCTGTATGAAAATTAATATATGCCCCATACCTATACACAAAGAAACTATCTAGAATTTCTTCGGTAGGCTTATTTGTGCCTGTTTCAAATTGCCATACAGTATAATTTAAAGGCATCTGAATTAATTGGGTTTCCTTGTTTTTAAAAAAATGAGAACTCTGATACATGGTGTGTCACTAGCAGAAGAAGAAGAAAATGACCTGTTTCTTTTATTTTCACTTGTCATTTGAGAACAGAATGAAGAAGCCTTGAAAAAATGTGCTCAGGATTACTTAGCCAGAGTTAAGCAGGAGGAACAGCGGTATCAGGCTTTGAAGATCCACGCAGAAGAAAAACTGGACAAGTAAGAGCTTGCACATAAGAATTTTACTTTTCATGATGTGAGAAGATTGATGGAGGCAAGGAAGAAATCACTGTTTTGCAACTCTAGATGACATGTGTCTGTGTATGTGTGTGTATTTACTTTTTTGAATAGGTAGAATCTTCCCATGTTCTAATATTAAAAAGAATAAGAAGGTATACAGTATCTCCCTCCACCCCATGCCCACTCCCCTGGGTTGCCTCCTCTTTCCTCACCTGGGGTCATCTATTTTATCCTCCCAGATACTCTTTTATCTCTCTCTGTTTTCTCCCCCAGCTTTATTGAGACATAATTGACATATAACATTGTGTAATTTTAAGGTATACAGTGTGTCAATTTGATATATTTATGTATTGCACCATGATAGTGTTAGCCAGCACCTCCATCATCTCAATAATTACCATTTTTTTTTAATTAAATCTTTATTGTTCAGGTTACATTTGTTCCTCTTTTTTCCCCCCCATAACTCCCCTCCTCCCAGTTCCCACCCCACCCTCCGCCCTCACTCCCCACCCACTGTCCTCATCCATAGGTGCACGATTTTTGTCCAGTCTCTTCCCGCATCTCCCATTCCCCTTTCCCCGCCAAGAATAGTCAGTCCATTCCCTTTCTATGTCCCTGATTCATTATAATCACCAGTTCATTCTGTAAATCAGATTATTTATTCACTTGATTCTTAGATTCACTTGTTGATAGATGCATGTTTGTTGTTCACAATTTGTATCTTTACCTTTTTCTTCTTCCTCCTCTTAAAGGATACCTTTCAGCATTTCATATAATACTGGTTTCGTCTTTTAGTTGTATTTTTGAAGTGGTTGTTTGCGGCAGCAGTCTCCTGTGTTTACCTATGCCGCCATCTTGGTCTCTCCAATTACCATTTTTTAATGTTGTGAGAATCTCCTTTTTTATACAAATGATAGCATACTTCGCTTTTCTCTTTTAGCAATGTATTTTGGAAATCTTCCTATATCAATCCATGAAGAGCTTCCTTACTTTTTAAAACAGCCGTGGCGTGTTCCACTGTTGGAATGTATCATTCCATTGTTGGAATGTCCCCCCTGTTGGACCTTCAGGTTATTTAAAATCTGCTACCAACAGTGCTGCAATAAGCATCCTTTTATGCTTATCATTAGGCATGCATGGGAGTTATCTGTGTGATAGGAAAGGACTGCTGGGCCAAAGAATATAGGAATTTATACTTACGATACTGTCCAGTTGCCCTCCTTAGACTACTATTTATTTATATTCCTACACAATGTATGAGTGTCTCTTTTCCCTACAGCTTTGCCAACAGGTCAGATTTTTGGTTTTCTGCAAATATAATAGATGAAAAATGGTATTTCGGTGTAGTTGGTTGGGTTTTTATTGTTGTTGTTCTGGGTTTTTTGGGGGGCAAGCAACAGAGCATTTATTTTATTCATTGTAGTTTTGATTTATGTTTATTTTATGAGTGAAATTGAACATATTTTAGCAGCTGTCCATACAGATACTTGCTTCACTATGAATGACTGTTCTTTGCCCGTTTTTCTATTGTCAGTTTATATATGTGTTACCTATAGCACATTATTATACTTATATATTAAGGATGGCAGCCCTTTGTGATATGAGTGGTGAATAATTTTTCCTGCTTGTCAGTTATCCTTTGCCTCTGCTGGTGGTGGTGTTGATGTGCAGACATGTATTTTTGTTAGTGAAATTAGCAGTCATTTTTCTTACAGCGTCAGGATTTCCTGTCATAGGAAGAAAGATTTCCCCTGGGCTGAATATAAAAAGTTCTCCTATGTTTTCCGTTTAGTACTTTTATGGCTTACTTTTTTAATTCTTAAAACCAACACATTTGGAATTTATCCTGGGGAGTGGTATGAAGGATGCATCCAACTTTATTTTTTAACTAAAAACTAATACATACTTGTACATTTTGCTCACTGTCTTCCTATTTGTAAGACCTTTTAAGTCCCCCATTTCCCATTGCCACTCCCAAAGGTACTGCTATGAAAGTTTATTGTGTATCCTTCCAGTCTTTGTGCCTTTACAAATACCGCCCATACTAGCGTTGACTTTTTAAAACGTATAATGGAGGCAGCATATTACAAAGTTTCCCTTTTCGTTTGATAGTATAGCATGGCCATTTTTCATGTCAGAACATGTAGTGTAATCTAATTCACCATTGTGCCAGGTGGGAATACTGCTGTGGATGGATTACTAACGGGGCACTGCTGGCCCAGAGGGTGTACACATGTTAAACTGTAGTGGTTACTGTCACATCGCCCTCCACAGACATGGCCAATTTTCATTCCCCCAGGGAGCCTGTTTCCTTGCATCTCAGCCAATACGGTACAAGATTATTCTTGTTAATTTCCCCAGTCTGATGAATTTTAAAGATTTATCACCTTAATGTGCATGTCTCTGATTACTAGTGAGTTTTTACCATCCTTTTGTCAGTTAATTGGCTATTTATCAACTGACATTTATGTTTTTTTAAAAAGTTTCCTTTGCCCCGCAATAGTAAAGTCATTGTTAGGACTGTGTCATAAATGAGATGGGTAGTATCCTGCCTCTTTATCTGTGATGATCCCAAGTATGATCCTACCTGCTATTGTACTGGGTTAAAAACCTCACAAAACTCATTTGATTGTTGTAGAAACTGTCATGTGATTCCATTTTCCAGTGACATGAATTTTGAAGGACACTATGGCCTTTGAGATTAACTCTACCATTGGTTTGCGCCATGCAAACTTGCTTAGCAGTTGTATGTAAATTGAGTGTTTATAAGTTAAAATTGAATTATTTAGGTCACCGATTCCTTTTGTTTTTCTCTTGTCATGAAGTCAGTTCGTTTAGGTTGTTTCACAGATGTCAGTGGTTGCTGTCCTGACTCTTTTGCAGTGACTGATGACTAACCATGTGCTTTTTGTCCCTTTATTCTACAAACAAAACATAAACAGAGCCAATGAAGAGATTGCTCAGGTTCGAACAAAAGCAAAGGCTGAGAGTGCAGCTCTCCACGCAGGACTCCGGAAAGAGCAGATGAAGGTGGAGTCCCTGGAAAGGGCCCTTCAGCAGAAGGTACGAAGACGGGTGTGACCACTGGGACCTTGGTTTCTGTCCTCCGCAGTGGCTAGCTTGCGGTGGATCTGGATGAAAGAGGCCTCACCTTTTTGTCCAGACACTTCAATCCAGTTCCTTTCTGAGCTAGTTCAGGGGGAAACAAACAAGGCAAACCAGGAAATTCCAGGCACATTGGTGGGAACTGTCCACAGGCAGGGTGCAGAGAGGAAGTGGCATTAACTGAACTTCAGGGACCAAACGCTGTTTAGTTGGGTTCTTAGGCTCCCTTTTAAAAAAAGTTCTGTGTGTGTGTGTGTGTGTGTGTGGTGCTTTTTTGTTTGTTTGTTTTTTTAATGTAATATAAAAGCCGTCTTCCCCTTAATTATAATTTTACTGTGCAGGGCACATTTGGCAACACCTAGAGATATATTTGGTTGTTATGACTAGGAGATGCTACTGGCATCTAGTGGGGAGAGGCCAGAAATGCAGCCAAACATCCTACAGTGCACAGAACAGCCCCACAAGGAAGACTGACCCAGCCCCAAATGACAGTGGTGGGTGGTGGAGCAACTGCTGTAGGTGAATAATGATGACAGTGGTCCCTATTGCTCCCTGCTCGCCGATCCTCGGGCTTTGGTTTCTGTCTGCCTCTAGTGTTTCCCTTCCTATGTCTCAGTTGTGTACTCATGCCTGTGACCTCCATTAAGTTAGGACAGGGTTCTTACCATGGCATCTGACAAAAAGTCAGAGTTCCTGGGATACGAGGACTCAAGCATCCCAGGTCCCTGGACATGCTAATGGATTGAGTGAGGCCCAGATACTTGTGTTTTTAACAGGTGCCCCGGGTAATTCCTATGATACCAAGAAAGTCTGAGAAGTAAGGGGTTCGTGGACAAGCTGCAGAGGGCCAGCGACTACCCTCACCCCCTACTCAGTTTAAGCATAACTTTGTGCACATGAGCATTTTCCAGGGGGGAAGGTTTAGTGCTCTCCTTTTCTTAAAGGAGAAAAGATGTAGAAAGAGCCATGGAGTGAGAGTAGAGCCAGTCTGGGGACTGTTGGTTATAATTTCCTTTATCTCAGGACACAGTTGACCTGCACAGTCGTATCATTTGTCTTTCAGAACCAAGAAATCGAAGAACTGACGAAAATCTGCGACGAGCTGATTGCAAAGCTGGGAAAGACTGACTGAGTTTCCCGTTCGCTCAGTGGATCTGCGTTTGGCTGCTTCTGTCGTGACCACAGTTATCTTGCCTTATCCAGGAATTGTTGCCCCTTTGCAGAGAAAAACACTTTGAAAAAGCACATCCCACTGCTGCCTGTCCGGCTTTGCTGCGACGCACAGCCCTGGCAGAACCCGGGAGTGTTGCACCGTCGCCGAAGGAGTGGCAGCAGGCCGTCCTGGAGTCCTCACAGCACCGCCCAAGGTCCAGTAGACAGGCTGCTACGTTGGGTTTGTGATTTCTCTGTTTTAATTCATTTTTTCTTACAGCTATGTACTTTATTAATATTTTTTCACACCACAGCTTAACATGAACAGCATATTCTCCCATACTTCAAAGATTCCCATTGCCACATATAATTCACTCCAGAGGCATATAGGTTCTGAAAAATAACGTTCTCAGTAATGGGGAAGAGCAGCTTTTTAGGAGCTCTTCCTGCTTTACCATTTAAAAAAGGCTCATGGCTGAGGAAGCACCCACACCTTTCGTTCCCTGGAGAACTCTGAGCTAAACTTAATTCTTTCAGTTCTATGTCTCACACATATAAGCAGTTAGGAACTTTGCACATGAGCAGGAATCAAAGTCAGATGCAGAAGTGGAATTTTAAGGACCATTCATATATCAGGGCAGAAGCACCACTGGGATTCCCATGACGATGCTACTTTGAATGTGCTTGGTGCCTTCTATTGCACATGCCAAAGGTCAGTTGGAGAAAGCAGAGCATGCCATGAGTGAGCTAGACAAGTCCCTTGGCCTCTTTGTACCTTAGTTTCCTTATAACTTGTGTAAAAGCTGCATTCCATGCCAGGCCTGAAGTGTCCCAAAGCTCACTTTTGTTATTAAATTGCAACCATGATTTATATATTGCAAAAAAGGAGTGCTGCAAACGCATTCCTTTCAATAAATTCTATTTTATTGCGGGTTAAATCTAAATACTGGAGGGAAAGCAGGCCTTCAAATGAACCCTCACATAATTCTCCCAAATTATTTCCACTGGGATTTTACAGCATCATCTCCTCCACCCATCTCCCCACAACCGCTCTGGGCATGATCCACTGAGGCGGGAGGGAGGGGAGGCCTGCTGCAGCCCTGGGTCCAACCCCACTCCCACACCCCTTTTAAGTGTTCACCTCCTTCCCCTTCGTCCTAACATGGCGCCACCACAGCCTGTCTTAATTCATTTGGAAGTCCACTTTGCTTTTCCAGGTGCGTTAAAATTGTGATTTTATGACTACGATTTGGGATCATCTCCTGTTCACCATGTCTCTGATTTTTTGTGTGTGTTACATATTTATTTCATCTTTTAAATTTAATTTTCAGTATTGGTGGTTTTATTTGAGGAGGTAATTTGGCTTTTGTTACTTTTAGTTTGTAAACAAGAAGGGGCTCTGAGTATCCATTTACATACATATACAAACACATATATTTACATATGCTGCTGTTTTCCCCTGAAGTGTAGTCAAATAAGAACCTACAGAAGAGCCTATTTCCATAAATGTAGAAACTTATTTTGGAATAGAGTCCTGGCTCAGAACGCCAGCTTCAGGATTTGGGGGGATTGAACATGTGGAAACCCCCGACCCCTGTCATGACTCATGACCCCAGCTCAGGTTTCACGTCCAGGGAAGACTTCGCCATAACGTTTGTTCCTGGTATTGGACACTCCTCAGCCTTGGCGAGTGTGAGCGTGGCCCCTCCGGGTGGGTCCGCAGGCTGACAGCGGCTGCTTCCTGCAGGAACAGCTGAGTGGGGCTCCCTCGGACCTGGGTGTGGCTAGGCCGTCCTAGAGCCACTTCTTTGCTTCACTTGTTGCTACAAAACCAATATTTCCTCTTGATTATTTGAAATATGCCGAGAAAATCTACTTGTAAAAGGTTTAGTTGATCTTATAATTAAAAAGTATTTGTAACCCCATCAGCAAGTAAAGGGAAAGAAACAGTTGTTTTTTCACAAATGGGATGTCTTGTTCTTCAGATTTTTTCTTTTGAGTCAAAAAAAAAAAGTCCTTTTAAACTTAAGACAGAATTTTTAACAAAACAGGCAGTAAAAATCACGTGAACCACTCTGAAAATCAGCACATTTTGAGTATTTTTAAACAGAGGCCATTTGACTAGTGGAGGAGGGAGTGCAGGGAGCAGGTCCGCACACAACCCACTTCCTCAAGCTCTTCCTGGGCTTGCTTCAGAGGTGAGAGGCCGCTAACCCCCAAAAGGAAAATTCCCTAGCGTTTGATAGGCAAAACCAAACCTGCAGGTGTTTTAAAGCACTCTCGTCTTAACCTTAACACCTGCAGGTCTTCATGGTCACATGCACTGTGTTCAGTACCTGTAAGTTTTCGTACTTTTCAGAACCCACGTCCTCAAGCTCTTCCTGGGCTTGCTTCAGAGGTGAGAGGCCGCTAACCCCCAAAAGGAAAATTCCCTAGCGTTTGATAGGCAAAACCAAACCTGCAGGTGTTTTAAAGCACTCTCGTCTTAACCTTAACACCTGCAGGTCTTCATGGTCACATGCACTGTGTTCAGTACCTGTAAGTTTTCGTACTTTTCCTGTAAAACTATTGCATGATCCACCTTCAGCAATGAATTGTGCCAGGTGGAGAGCCTCTGTAAGTCTTTAAACGCGAATTTTCCTTTAGAAGTGTACTGTTCACAGGGGTGCAATCTTTAGCCCCAAGGAGGTCAATAATGCCTTTTAAAGCCAGAAGTCACATTTTATCGATATGCACTTACATAATTGGTGCTTAGGCTGTATTTTAAAGCCTATTGTCTTACCACTTTGTACAAAAAAGAACAACAGAAGTGATGTGTGGTTATAGAGGTGACAGGACAATCATTTGGGCTTTGAAAACAGTCCCTGGATTAATGTGAGTGCTGGGCTGCAGTTTATTTAGCTCAGTGGAGCGAGGTGTCTCCAGGTGGCGCCACCGATTTCCTCCTTTGGTCCTCTCCTACCAAGAAAAGCAACTGCATTTTGCAGAAAGAAACATTGCTAAACCTTTTTGCTGCTGTATTTTGGTGACATGTCCATGTTGTTTACTTGCTTTCTGTTGATCTGTTTTAAGCATGGAAGGTTTATAATGGTCTCCATCGTAAATCCTAGTCCTCTTTTTAGGTTTCTTGTGTATATAAAAAAGGTAGCTACGTGTTAAAACAGGTGACGACAATCCTTCCCCAGCACATGGGTAAAAGAGATTCCTTAAAAACTAGACCCTAGAGCAGGGGTCCTCAAACTTTTTAAACAGGGGGCCAGTTCACTGTCCCTCAGACCGTTGGAGGGCCAGACTATAGTTTAAAAAAAAACTATGAACAAATTCCTATGCACACTGCACATACCTTATTTTGAAGTAAAAAAACAAAACGGGAACAAATACAATATTTGTATTTGCATGTGGCCCTCGGGCCATAGTTTGAGGACCCCTGCCCTAGAGTGAAGTTGCTGCACAAGGAATACGAGAGGACCCCGGTGAAGTAATATTTGCCTCTGGTCTCTCAGCCATGAATGACCATTACAAGAATATGTTCTTCCTTCTAATGTAATAGGTGGATATTCTCCAACGAGAGTAAAAATGTAGCTTGTGCAGTTGGCAAATCAAGAGACTATACTGGACGGAATAAAGTATGTTTGTTTATTTTTCTTAAAAAATAAGCAACAACAACAAAAAACCCACAAAACAAACAAATCAACTCCAAACTTTTAGAACTCTGGAGTAAGAAGACAGCCTAGAGTTGGCACCTAGAGAGCCAGCCTCCTTATTAGGCAATAATAAACCCTGTTACAAAAGTGAAAAGACATGAGTGCAAGTTGCTGGCCTAGATTGTGGTTGGGAAGTATTTGGTGATCTTGTTGAGACTCTGGGTCCAGAGACATTGCTTAAGTTTTTTACTTTGTCAGAGTGTAGATAGGTATATAGTCTTTATCTTAAAGTATTTTAATTAGAGACTGAACAGTTTGTTGCTTGGTTAGCCAGTTGGTTACAGTCAGACCTCCTGAGATGTATTATACTGGGAGAAGCTCCTGAAGGCCTGTCCACACCTTTTGTTCCGTAAAACTGTCCTGGAAATATTGAGAAGCCCGGTTTTCTCACGTGGTTTCCAGCTTCTTCAAACCCAGCCCAAATTAGGAAGTGCAGAAACACATCTGAGGCTCTGGCTGCCTTCCAGTGTGATATGGAATCTAAGGAAAGATTGATGTTTGGGTTTGAGGATGGCCCAAGTTGAATTTTCTTTCCAGCCAGTCACCCTTTCCACCTGCCCCGCACTTTGTGTAATTCTCACAGCAATACGTAGGTCTCTGTTGGACAGCCCAGAGGTAGTACTGTTTGTGAACAGGAGGAGTAAACTGCCCCCAGTGTTCCTGGGCTGTCTGTCTAAAAGCAGCCGGAGGGAAGTGCTCACTTTAAATAAAAGTAACCGAGGGCTTGCTGGGGCTTTAAAGCTCAAAATGGAATTTTTAACGAGCAAGCATTGGTAAACTTGTGTGCACCAGTTGGAAATGACCCAGCACATCCTTTTCTCGTGGTGTAAAAGCCCCAGAGCTCCCTCTTTATTTCCTTTTGGTTTTTCACTACAATTAGCAGTCATCTCGCTGAACTGTCTTTTCATTGTGGTTTTGTGACCAGGTGAGCTTGCTCTTGGACTTCATTTCTTACTTCATCCCCTTATTGGAAATAGAGAAACTATGAGTTGAAAGAGTAAATGATTCAGCAAAGGATTTTAAAGTAAAGATGTATATATTCTGAAGAATTTTAAAGATAGCAGATTATTATTTGCTTATTAAAGAACAAATATAGTCTGGGAATCCCAGAATGTCAGGCCAAAGGTCTGTTGATAGAAATATTTTGAGGAGACTTCTGTCCAAAAAGGTTTGACTGGCCTCCAGATCCCAGTGATTTTTAGAAAGCAATTTACCACTCAAACCGTGAGTCTCCCATATAGTAAAGCAAAAGGAATCGGACACTTCTCTGTAAGGCTCTCCTCTGGAAGATAATATAAACAGCAGCATTTCTAGGGGAGACCCTCCCTGGTGCCGAGCTAGCGTTCTGGAGACTAAAGATTGCACTTTCCGTAGTTCTTTGTCCAAATGCAATCCCATTTTTGTGCCTCTCAGCATGCAGTTAGATTTGGACAAACAAGATTCCTAAGGAATGACTTTATTAACTATAATATGGTTACAGCTATTACATATATATATATTCTGGTTATAGTTCTAATATAAAGATGTTGTGTGCGATGCCAACAGTCTTAACTCATTTGGAGGAGGCCAGACGTGGAGCTGAGGTGTGGCTTGAAACTTCCCTGTATCGATTCTTTAGAACTATAAAGATGCCACTTTCTCCCCCTCTGCCTTTCAGTGGTGTCTGAAATGCACTGCAAAACGTATTTCCAAGTCACATGGTTAACCGATATTCTATATTAATAATTTCCAAGTGGACCTATGAAAACCTAAACTCGGAAACCACCCCCAGTCCAGATACAGGGCAGGTGTCACCATACCTGCGGCCTCAGTCCTGGTCCTTCCTACCCAATGGGACAGGACCCAGGCATTTCTCTAAATCTCAGAGGTGGCAGTAAACTTTTCAGTGTTGCTGTTAGCAAGTGTGTTTGCCAGTAGATACCCACGTGTACTAATGTGCCAACAAGTAAATGTTAATTGCACATCTGCTTCCACTGTGTCCCCACGGGTGCCATGAAGTGTGTGAGAGCCTCGTCTCGAGGAATGGATGCTGCATTGACTACTGCTATCAGGATGGTGTTGTGTGGAGTAATCATCTACATAAATTTTATATGCACAGTAATTTCCCTTTTATATGTCAGGTAAATATTTGTAAAAGTTATACTCACACAAATGAAATTATTATAATGATTACTAATATATTTTTTCCATGTTTCATTGCCTGAATAAAAACTGTTTACCACTGTTAAATTTGGGTGTGTGTATGCATTTTTTCCTGGTTATAGTGGTTTTTGTCCCCAAGTGAAAATTTACGACAGCCTCACTTTTATGAGCTCCATATTTTAGTTTAAAAATAGAAAAGATGACATTTTTCACTGCACTCATTTTGTGGGCTTTTATGCATTCGGTTGAATGTGTAATTAAAAACAAAACGAACAAACTTTGGAATTCAGGCCTTACCATATAAATTTCCACGCTTTTGCATCTGTGCAAACAAAGTAATTGGGCACTTGTTGGTTTTGCTTCGAGACTGCTTGTCTGCCCTGGCATTTCTCAAGTTGTAAGAACCTAAGTCATCCCAAGAAGCCAGCGCTGTGTAAACATTGCAGAATGGCCCACAGAAAATAGTTGATGTTTTATGTCTCTTCTAGATTAATACCAGGAAAATCTTTTTCAGTACCAGCTAGGCCAACTTTCTGCTTAAAGGGCTGGGGGACTTGGCAGGACATTGTATACATTTTATTGCAGGAAAAGATAAGAGGCTCCATTTTACAACCTAGGTGGGGATCCTCTGTCACTTTCTTATCATTAGCTGCACTGTAAAACCTTACAGCCTATAAAGTTCCAAAAAACGTTTTTCACTAGTGTGCTCCTGAACCGCCAGGAGGGGACGCCTTAAAGTGACTGGAGGAGGTGGTGCTGCCATTTACCGAATGCTAACGACAGTAGAAATCGCATCATTTTCTAAGAATTTAGGGGAAGAATAAGATGGAAATTACCTTTCTGCTCTCTTACAGAACTTTATTGTTAGATAATATGAGACCATTTAGTGTTTTTCACACTTGTACAAATAGGGAATCATGGGATCATCTTAGTGCATGGCCATCAGTATTTTAATAAGAGAAAATATGACAGATATCAAAGTGCATTGCGCAAGTTAAGGATAAGCTACTGCTCCATGAAATTTGTTGCAGATATAAATATGTATGTACTAGGTCATGATGAACATTAATTTCCTGCTACGGCCAGTGGCCAAAGTATGAAAAAAAATTGATCTACTAACGTTAGTCATTCTACAATTGGAAAAAAGGCTCAGAGAGAGAGGTGATGTGGCCAAGATTCTGTAGTTTGTATATAAGTGGACAGTATCACCCTCACTCAAAATGAGCAACAAAAATAGTTGCCACTTTGTCTTTTTCACGCTCTTTAAATTCATTTCTCCCAGATTTAGATAGTACTATATTATTTTCTAAGTTTGTAGGCATTTAAGGACCAATCAAAGCCAAATATCTTTTTGTCAACATTTATTCATTTACCAAATACTTAGTGAATTTGCAGAGTTTAAAAGTGGGCCATGCAAAATTTCTGAAGCTAGTTAGCTAAAGAGAAATTGTTTTTAAGTTTGAAACATCTTTGAAATATGAATATGTCAACTAATACTATTTTTCTCCCAGAAGAAAGCTCTCCCTATTCTAAGTTTCTTAGCCCAGTTGTAGGTTATCTTTTTTATTTAAATTACGTACTTGAGGATTACCATTTACTTATGAGATAAATCTAACCTCCAAACAGGACAAGATGGCATGGAATTGTTAAGTCATGTGACACAGACTACATGCTGAAGGAGTCTAGGAGGAGGGACAAATGTAATAGGGAAGTTACACACAAACCGGGTAGAGCAGCAGGCCGCGTAGAATGACACTCCGGGCTTAGCCTGGCTTCAGATCCCCGCCACAGTTATTTCACCTGCCTGGCTTCAGTTTTCTAGCCCTGGTGATAACAGTTCCCACCTCCTGAGGTGGTCATGAGGACTCACTGATAATGCTGGCATAGTGCCTTGCCCTTGGGGCCTTAATAAATGACAGTGATAATCATCTCCTAAAACCTCAAGTTTATGAAATTTTCAAATTTTCTAGGATTCCCCCTTATAAACAAACTAGAGGCCCGGTGCACAAAATTTGTGCACTTGGGGGAATCCCTCAGCCCGGCCTGCACCCTCTCGCAGTCCGGGAGCCCTTGGAGGATGTCCGACTGATGCTGAGGCAGGAGAGGTCCTGCCACCGCAGCATTTGCCAGCTGTGAGACCGGCTTCTGGCTGAGCGGTGCTGCCCCTGTGGGAGCACACTGACCACCAGGGGGCAGCTCCTGTGTTGAGCGTCTGCTCCCTGGTGGTCAGTACACATCATAGCGACCAGTCATTCTGCTGTTTGGTCGGTTAGCTTTTTATTATATAGGATTTTGTTAGTTTTATTAGACA